GAGGCATTTGGGATAGCTAAGGCGGTTGTGCCAAGTATTAGAGGAGATTTTTGTGCTAACAAAGCTCAGAATGTTGTGACCAAACTTATAGAAAGGATATGATAGAGACTACTCATGCATGGTCCCTAAAGAAGAGTTATGTGCCTTCCGATCCTTAATGAAAAATCTAATAGGGTGAAATGAATTGAACAATCATTATCATCTATGAGAGAGGAAACCAAAAGAAAATTATGAGAGATTTATGGAACCTGAAAGAGATGAGAAGGTTGAGCTTATGAGTGGGGGTTGGAATTAGACCTTGTTCGATGTTGGCAATGGGAATGGATGAACCATTGCTTATTGGGACTTGATTTGTGAGAAGATGTTAGTTGTTGTATTTGGTTGAGGTTGGTCGTTAGGTATGAATTTGTGCTAGAGTTAAGGAAGCATTCGGATAAGGGGTGATTGGGAGTGTGCATAAGAGCTATTGCACTAAGTTTAGTGGTGGCTGTGTAGTTGAGGCTAGTGGTGAATGAGTGTCCAATTTTGCCTCAAAATTGGCAGATTGGTTGGCCGGACCTCTATTTGCCACCCTTGTTTGGCTAAGTTGAATGAGCTTCATGGCAAGTGGAGTTGGTCGCTGAAGGAAAGTCCACAGTAAGCGGCAAGGCTACATAGGGATGGGTGAATGGGTGATTCATTAGCTGTGTTTGTTTCTTTGTTACAAAGAAGGGAGTAGAGGTCATCAAGGTTAATGGGCCTTAGGTTCGTGGATATGTCAATTCTGAAGATTTGGTAAGTTGAGGGTAGGCCATTAAGGATGTACAAGATAATGTCTTCACTATTGATGTCAAATCCACGGTTTTGATGTTGTCAACAAGAGTTTATGGAGGATAAGCAAGCATTGGGTCGTGAATTAGTTTTTTTATGGTTATATGAAGTTCATTCTTCAATTGGATGATCCTAGAGGGATTGGTCACTCCTCCTAAATAGCATTCGACATTCTAGAGTTAACCAAATACCTTAATAACAGTCAAAATTAAAGAAGGGAGAATAGTTGTGGATATAGTGGAAAGAATTGTTGATGAGGCTTTGATCAATTAAAATTTAGGTGTTGTATATGAGATTTGGGAGAAGTTGTCCACTGATGTCGGTGAATAATATTGATTAATTATTCTGTGCGGATGCTGAATGTCATCCGGAGACCAATCAAAATGCACCATGTCACCCCTTCAATGTGTACCACGGCTCGGTACTACTCAGTATTATGGCTCGATACCATTGACATGACTACACCTGATTCACCTCCGGACGTAGAGCTACGTCTGCCTCCACACAGAATAATTTCTCTTTGCTAGGACAAATTGCGGAGCATTTTAGGTGTCACGATCCGATCCGATAAGCTTGAGTTAATGAGGTGGAAATAAACCGTCGTACGAAAAATATTTCAAAATATTCATTTAACATAAACCATGATCAAATATTCATCCAAAATTCAATAACAAAAAAAGAGACTAAACTTTCCTTTAAAATATAAGTTCTAATACATCAAAAGTACCATCTCCACAATCTTTAATACATTAAAAGTACTAACTTGAAAATATAAAACTACTACAAGTAGACCATAATACATAAACCATAACAAAGTCCATCACAAGACATATAATAACCATAAGAACCTCTCCTTGCGCTGCTCTACGATTGTACGTAACAAGTCTATCAGCCATCAGTTTTTAGTAGGTTCTTTTGAAAAGTATTCCCATAATCAAGGATGAGCTAATGCTCAGCATGTAATAAATATTTCTATTAAATTTATAAAGTAAGAAAAAGAAAACATTATGCATGTAACTTTCATATAGCAATACTGAAATTATTTTCAAAAGAATTACTATAAAAGTCATAAGTTTATATTGGGTAATGCACACTCTATATGACATTCTAAATGCTCATGTTCTTTTATATTTTTATATAATCATAACTTTCTCATTTTTCATAACTTCTTTTTTATTATATTCTTATATGCATAGAAGCATAGAATGCTTATTCATAAATTTATACATCCATCACGAAAGTACCAACATTTTTGTACTGATCAGGTATACATTTAAATTTGGTTAGTCATTTCATTTATGGGATTTTTACATACATAACACTTGAAATTAGTGTAAATACATATTCAACACTTAAACTTTTATATTTACTGATATACCACATAAAACTTCTCTTTTCATCTATTCTAATACTCCGTTTAAGTCCGTCAAAACGTTCTGTGTTTCTTAACCTCTCACTGCGATCGTCCCCTCACCGCCGCTGCCTTCGCTCCTTACGGCCCTTACTGACGCTTCATGAAAAAGCTATGCATGTCGGAGCTCCTCTCCTCTCGCACCGTTGAATGTCTCGCTCACATCCGCCATCGTGAGCTCCGTGCCCTGCTTCAAAATCTTGCGGCGAAGCCCACCGTGGCCAAATTGTTGATCTGAGTAAACAACTCATAAGGATGACGACGAGAATCATCGCCGGAATGACGGCCGGAACGACATCCACAGGAGATAGCGAGGCGGCAAGGAAAGCAGTGAAAGGGGTGGCAGAGCTTATCAGATCCCTCTACTTGGCAGATTTCATTACATTTTTTTGTTTCGATTTCCAGGGCTTCAAAAAGTGGATTATGCAAGTGCCAGATGATTTTTTTGAGTTGATGGAGAGAACCATTTCCGAAAAAGTGGCCATGAGGAAAAGCTGTGTGGGTCAAGACGGCAACAAGGATTTGCTTGATATATTGCTTGATGCTACCGAGTATGAAGATATGGAGATCCGGTTAACAAGAAAGAACATCAAGAGCTTCATTCTAGTGTTTTTTTTTTTGGTAAAATTATATACTGTAGTTGACGCCGATCTCGTAATCTACAGCTTCATTCTAGTATCATTTAATGCGACCAATTTTACCACCGCCGACCTCGCCGCCATACCCAAAATTGGTCTTTTTATTCCATAGGGCAAGCAAGACGAGCGAGAGCAGAGAGCGCCATTCAAAGTCAAGGTAGTACATGTTGCACTCGTTCTTGTGAGCGTTGGCGTGGAGCTTGCACTGAACGAAGAAGCTCGTCGAGTGGCAGGGAGTTCAGACGGGGACGACAGTCTCTGATATGATTTTTGACGGTGGCTTAAACAAACCGTTAGAATAGATGAATAGAGGATTTTAGGTGGTATATCTGTAAATATAAAAATTCAAGTGTTGTATATGTATTTATACTAGTTTCAAGTGTTATGTATGTAAAAATCCCTTCATTTATTTGATCCGAATAGCCCTTTATCATTTGCTCCAAAGAGCCCTTTACCATTTGTTCCAAAGAGCTCTTTATTATTTGGTACTCCATATCATCATACACATTCAACCATTCAATGCTTATCGTAGGAATATTAAATCATTCATGCAATCATATATACTTGTCTAATGATGTTTCATGCTCATTCTAATGTACTGTTTGCATGAAGTTTTACATATTAATATTTACATAAATCTAAAAGGGAAATATGCCAGATTAAATATCATCATTTGCTATAGTATGAAATGTGAATAAATAACATGCTAATTTCAACTAAACAAATATATAAAGCATATACAATTTTAACACTTAAAAAGAAGACTTATAAAATTAAAAGAAATATGAATATATCGAATACCAAATATCAAAGTAAACCTAACGAGTACACTACGCCGCTTATGTTTGTGGTGTTCCCTTATATCCTATACCTAAATTTAAATGTAAATGCAAAACATTAATACTAACTCCTTAATCATGATACATTCTACATTTTCATTAAATAAATAATGAAATTTTTATTTTCAAATTTAATAAATCCTTAATTTTTAAACATTCAGAATTTGTCTAAATCCATAATTTATCCAAGGTAAATCTTCACCAATTCCTAATTTAATTTAAAATAAACTAAAATTTTGAATTATTTTAATTTAAAATTAGGAAAATTATAATTGTGTAAAAATACTAAATTTCTTTCATTAAAAGCATTCTTAAGATCATTAGGAACAAAAAGCATTAAGAAATTTCTTAAAATCCAAAAATATGACAAATCCTAATTTTTCAAACTTAGTAAAAATTGGGGAATACTTTATTTCTATGCTTTAAATCATTCCTTCAACTCTCCCTAACAATCCCCTTAAAAAATTCTAGGTTTTAGAGAAACCGTAGAATTTTTCTCCTCAAGAAATCTATATGAAATAGAGGGATTTCATGTTCATAAACATACCTTAGTCTTCCTTGAATCAACCTCTAGAAATTTCCCCGCCGCACAAAACCTTGTCGTCGCCCCTTGTTCGCCTCCTCTATACGGCCGAAAGGAATTTGCGTGAGAATGAGAAGGGACTGAAATCCATTCAGAAATTAAGGCTTGGAAGATTAGGGGGAGATTCCAAAGTACCAATTTGTCCTTACATGCTTTTATTTTCTTAAGACTATGATGGGCTATTAAGTAATTTTGATTTTATGAAACTTCGACAATTTTTAACTTCCAAACCAAGCGAAATTTATTATAAGTCATTTATACCGATTTGATCGAAATTTAATGTACAATTCTATAAAATTAATTTCGCCAAATTCCAACAAATTCATGAATTTTATCAATTTCGTCATAATGCATCGAAATGCGTGCGATACTTACGATTCATTATTTTTCGAGTTTTACATTGGGAAACCTTCCCAACCGTTGGTTTTAAAGAATTTCAGTAATTGGGATTTTTAAAATGGGCAGTTTTAGAAGGTATAGTTACCGTCCGAGATTTGTGTGTTGGAAATGTGTTTGATGTTGGGATTTGTGTGTTGGAAATGTGTTTGATGTTGGACATAAGAAATTTCAGAGGTGGCCGAACGAAAGAATCAATCATAGGGATAGGCTTGGATCGAGCTGTAGTTTTTCTATGAGCACTTTGATACCACATAAAACTAAATCGATCAGAAAGCTGAAAGCTGAGTATAGACACAGAGAAGTGAAGAAGAGGCAGAAAATTAACAAATCAGAGGATAATTTCATGATTTTCATTCCCTTACAGCCTTAGTCAAGTACAGTGGTCTTCATATAGAGCAAAATAAAATCAAGCTAGGTCACTACTGCCATTTTCATCATTAGATATTTAGATGAATAACCATAAAAGATCTATAGTATCATGGAAGGTAATCATAAAAGATGAGTTTGCATTTCACAAATCTGCAGAGGAGCATAAACGTTAATTTACCGGTAAACCACAAGCGAAGGATGGCCTCTGAGGAAAAATTATTACGTGTGACGTCCAGATTCGTCCGGATACTAATAAAAATGCGACACGTCGCCTCAAAAATGTACTGTGCTTGATACCGAGCACGAAACAGGTATCCGCACAGAATAATTGCTCCCGCTATACAGGATAATCTCCATAAAATACTTTCGGGCAGCAGAAATACCCAAAGACATCAAAATTTCTCAAAGGAGCATCGACTGCATCGAAAATTTTGATTGAACTGCTTGCACCATTGGATTTAATAATAGAAAACCAGCCATTCCATTTGTCTAGTAGAAATGGCGAACTAGGACTGTCTATAATTTGCAGATGTTTCTCTTTCTCATCATTACTATGCTTTCTGCGATCGTTGATCCTGCAGTTCCGACAAAACCAACTGAAGCACAACTACACACAATTTCCTCAACGTATAATAGAATATCTGGTAATAACGCAGGGCTACAAACTCCATTTTTATTCCTTGGAAGAAAGCCGGAGCTGAAGCCTCCTTCAGCAGCTACAAGCCTCTTGGCAGCCTGGACCACCCACTTATCGTTCTCAGTCAAGGTATACAGCTTATACGATTTGGTATTACTTGCTATTTCTTCCAGGTAAGTTCCAGTCCAGTTGCTGGTGGGAAGATCTGTCATGATGAAAATATGAATCAAGCCATGCAAGGACTGCAACTTCTCTCTGAGTGCTGAGAATGTAGTTTTCCAATGGTTTTTAAACTGTCCATCCAGTAATCTAAGCTGCGCACATAGAAACGGTTCCTTGATTTTGTTTTGAGCAATTTCTTTTCCAGAAGCTATTAGTTCAGGAGAAAATGGAAGGAACTGTATATCCTCAAGCAGTGACTGTATACGAGAATCTGTAGGTGCTTCATGGATGTCAATATAAAGCTCAGAACCTTTATAAGGTGAAGTGAAAAGGCTCCCAAAAGAAAGAATTTTGGCCATTTCAGCTTCTGAACCAGGTCCGAAGGCCTTGTAGAGATCTCTGCGCTGCCGTAGAAAAGAAATTTTCTTTCGTTTCTGGAACTGCTCATCTTGCTGGAACGAGTCCAAGGTCCCATCATTACCTTGTTGATAAGTCCATACTGTTGTCCTACAATCTTCTTCCACAGCATGAAGACACTGCTTCACATTACCATACAAACCAGAGAGGAGAGACCTACAGTAATTGAAGTTGTTTGATGTAGATTCCACACTAGAAATAGCACAGCATAGATTCCCATGGCAAGTTCCATCCATATTTAAGCCGCACCAAAGTGAAGCAAAAATCCTAAAATCAATTATTTTGAGCGCTCTGGGTGAAACGGAAGACAAATCTACTATATCAGCCATTGAGATGTACCTGAAAGGTTTTCAAAAAAAAAAAAATCATGTATTTAAATCCAGGATTTAGCAAATTAGCAGAAAGTAAGATGCAATATTTGGGTGCGTGAGGCTGATTTTGCACTTCAAATAGGTCCTTCAATGACAGAATCATCAGAAATTATATAAATTCATAAAATGAAGGCAAGAAGTTTCATTAAGAGGCCAAGGAACACAATTAGCATCTATTTGCTCCACTCATCATATCAAAGGAGCTTTTAAATGAGTTTATAACTAGGATTCTTCACAATCAAATTTATTAGTTTCAAATACTTTTAAGCAACAATATTATAGATCTGTGCAAATTTTTGGATGATATGTCTTCATCCTAATCTACTATTTTTGTTTCATGTTTTCTTCTTGAATGACGGACAAGTCAAGTGTTTTGCCTCAAATATATCTTCTTTTAAAAGTTTTTGGATGAACAATACCACGGCCTCAACACAGCTTTTGTTAGTTTTTGGGTATTATTGAAGATGTGGATGATTTCCATTCTCTTGCATGATGACTGGGCAAAGTAAAGAAGTGGCGGAAGGATTGAGAAAACAATTTTAGATGATTCCTGGGAATGGCCAAAGAAGAAAGACCAAATTACTACTATGATGTAGAATTGCATAAATAATGTTAGATATTACTGACATATATTTTTTAGATTCCTACCATTTTTTCAAAAGTCATGCATGTTTTTTAGTTGGTTGAAGTCATTTTTGTTGGAAGTAGAATTGTATTTTTCTACTTTGATATGAATGTATGTATATATATATATATATATATATATCGTTAAACATAAGATTTTGGCAAGGTAATTGTTACTTTTAACATAAATAAAACCACTCCAATCAAATGCCACGTTTTCTTTTAAAAGTATGAAGAGTAAGAAGTTTTATGGAGCTTGAAACCAAAGTAGATAACTAGCTATGGAGAATTATGTCTAACTACATCGATGCAAACATGAGAAGTACTCAAGGCATCAAAGATGTTGCTCAAAAATTGAAATAGAAATGCTGAACAGATCTAAGAATCAGACTCTACATAAAAAAACTGTATGAACTCACATTCAGGAGTTAAAAAAGAGATCACGAGCATCTTCGGATGACAATAAAAAGATAATATTGATAGGTCATGAGGAATATACATCACGTAAATAGATATTCTTTCTTAAAAAAATGATAAAAAAAGTCAAATGCTTAATATTAGTTGTGTTAAAAGTTTTTTTGAAAGATACAACTTTTTTTAATATTCTAATTGCAAATTACGACTAGAAGATTTAAGGTGAAGGACATACTTCCAGGGAGTGGGCAAGTCGAGAAATTCATAAACTCTATTTAACACTTAACAAATTAACTTGGATGCTGCTAATGATGATGATGATGATGATGATGATGATGGTGATGAGCTTAAGTTTTATAATAATTGGCATGGATGCATCAAAAGTTATCAATTGTGCTAAACTAGATACTAAAAAAGATCATACAGGAATGACAAAGCGAGCAAAATCATTAACTTCAAAGAGATATGTCCCACAAAAAGTGAAGAAGGGCCCTATTGTTGACTGAACTTTTTGTGACTATATTATAATGATGGTTGATAGTATAGCTCAAGTTGTTAATGCAATTCAAAATATAAAAAAAGATTCTAAGGAATGAAAAATGTTCACTGAACTAATAACAGAACTATCAAGTAAATTCCATGTTTTTTTAGTTAGGAATTGATTCTATATACGACAATTTCTCCAAGAACCCAATGATGATTCATTCTTTCCTTTCAAAATCTATGAAATCAAAAGCTATATAAATGCAAAAGGAGTTAGACAAATTATTTTTTTATATAATCATAAATGACTTTTTAATGTAATACTAAATGATTAATTAATAATTTTGAGCTGTAATTTATCAGCATTTTAAACTCATGTATTCATATGTATTTTGGACTTATGAAATAATTATGATCAATTTGGATTTATTATTAAAATATTGCTAATTCTACTCTATATGAGATTATTTATTTGTAGGATTGCAAGAGTGAAAATCATTAATTATTCAATTTTTTTAGTTTTTTACTTTGAAAAGGTTTAAGAAATCGAAGTTTAAACTGATAAAATATTATTTTTTTATGTTATAACACTAAGGGGGGATTATTACTACTATATTTCACAGGAGTACGAAACTCCATACATTACACTTATTCAAACAAAAAAAAAAATTCTTCTTCATTTACTTTACAGATAATCAAACTGGCCTTAAATATTTAGAATACACTGTACTTACTTTACATTTAAGTCACAATACAAGTTGAAATACTTTAAACCAAATAGCCCCTCATTTATTCCAAATTATATTGATAACTAATTCAAAGTCAAATCATCATGGGAGAAATGGAGGTACTTCATCTATCATCAAATTTGATTTAAGGGAATTTTGAATGAAGATTTCACTGAAAATATTTTCATTTGGAAAGTGTCTGGGGCAGCAAAGCAACATTGCAGTTCCCATGCATCACTATAGGAGTAGTACTGCAATGTGTAATTACCATAACAGGTTTATTTTAAAACTATGAGGCATTATGATCCTTAGTGGTTTGTTAAAATGCCCATGAATTTATACTTTATTTTTGCAAGTTGCAAGGGAGCCAAAATGTTCAAGCCATGTTTAGAAATGTCTCTCCTGCATGGTGGATTTGTGGTCCACGAATCAAGCTTTAAGACAACAATATAATCTATCAAATGCTGTGTGCTTGGTTTCATATTATCTGACTTCAACAATGTAACTTTTTCTTGAATCTTCAAAGATAATTATGAATTTTCTTTTAGTTGTATTTTGTTTTTGCCATCAGACAACTTGACATCTATCAGCCATCAAAATAGGACTTACAGGACATTTATTAAATTGTCATTTAAAGATGCTGGTAAACCAAACAATTGAAATTTGCTAATAACATGATATAACACAAGCTACGGAATAAACAAATACTTAGGCTCTGTTTGGTTAGAAGGAATTGAAAAAGAGGAAAAGAAAAGGAAATGGGCAATGATAAAGTAATTGAATTAAAGTTAGTTTACACCCTGGTTGATGAGAAATTGGGCGGAAAAGTGATTCCACTTTTTGTTAGATTTGAATGAATAACCAATAAATTGAATAATGAACCAATCTGCTTCCAGACTACAGAAGAAAACCTAATACTATTTAAATTTCAGTTTTAATTCAGCTTTCCGCCGGGTTTAAGCAGAGAATCTTGAAGAAAATATTGCATGCGTTATAATTATAATTTTCCGAACAAAATCATTTTCCAATGAATTGAACGCAAAACAAACATTCAAATTGAAATTTCTGCATATTTCCTCCAAACCAAGCAAAGCCTTAAAGAAATCTGCTTCAGAACAGGATGCAACTGACCTCTGGTCCCGGACGAGGTCCATGACGTGATCCCACACTGCATTGCGAAGATCAGAAGGACTGGTAACTCTGAACTTAGGGCAGCTTCCGAGCGCAACGGCGTGGTGGTCCAGTACTGGGGGCACGATTAGGGTTCGGTTCAGTATAGCTGCGAATATGATGGCATTCTTGAGCTCCGAAAGCTGGTTGCTGAAGCCACTGTGTGGGGCATACCAGATGAAGCGTTCGCCGGCCAGCGATTTTGCACCGGTGAGCGTTTGGGGTCCACATTGGATTGTTGTGGAATGTGAGCGAGAAAGGGTTTTGGGGAGAAGAGAGAACTGGAAGGAGGAAGCAAAGGAAAAGAAGAAGAGGAAGAGGGAGATGAGGAGGAAAGTGAGGGTTAGAGAGAGGAAAATGAAGTAGCGTTTACTCTCTGTGCTTTTCTTCCTCCATCGACTTCGATTTAATGGCCACGCCATCTCTTTCCACCCCCGCCTTCTTTCCCTTCAGTTTAATAGTCGTAGGGTTCTAAACGAGTTGGCTTCACTTGAGCTTGATTAATCAAGCTCGAGCTTGAATTTTATTCTAAGGGGCTGTTTGGATGCAGGATTTAGACAGGATTTGAAGCGTATTTGAGCTAAATCCAGCCAAACTGCCAAAAATGCAAAACCAAATCTTGCGGTAAATCAAAGCCGCCGTTGACGGGAAATTCCCTCTTTTCGTGGTAAATCCCGCATTACGAAATCCTTTGCTTCGGCAGATTTACGGGATTTGGCCGAAGAAGCGCGCGAAAGGGAGAAAGTTACCTTCACAGCTACCGAGCTCCCGTTGTTGCTTCCGATCAAAAAATGTCGTAACTTCCGCTCCAACCGGAAGGGAACATCGTCGAAGGAGCGAAGTCGAACACCGACGAAGAAGAACTCGTGCAAAACTTTACACTCCTGCCAAGGAACAAAGCCGAAGAAATAGAGAAGAGAAAAGCAAAACCTAAACTCCTCTAAGTTATTGTTGAATAACTGAATTAATATAATTTGAAATATTAAAAATTAAGTAAAACTAATTAAATTATTAATAAATTTATTAGCTAAATATTTAGTTATTTCAAAATAATTAATAGGACTAAATATGATTTTAAATAGAAATAATTGTTATAAAATATTATAAAAAATAATTAATCATTTTTAATATTTTAACCACCTTAAATGTTTTAGTTATCCAAGAAAAGAATGTCAAATCTTTTAACCACCTTAAATCTTGAATTTAATAGTCAAACAATCACATATAATTTATCATAAATATTGTCAAACAATTTTTAGGATTTAACCCCCTAAGGATTTCGTAAATATAGATTTAGAAGATTTACCAAATACTACTTAAATAAAATCTTTGGTGCTACCAAACAGCCCCTAAGAATTTACACAAGCCAACTTATTTATAATAATGAAAGAAAAAAAAAGGGGGTGATTTATATACATACCACTTTATTTCATATTATTTACATATCTAACATCCAAAACTTTAATATTTTATTCCATGAACTCATATTTATTTAATGAGTAGTAAGCATATAATATTAAAATTTTAGATGTTAGATTTATAAATAGCATGAAATAAAATGGTATGTATGTAAATCCCATTATTCAAATAAGTATTATAATAAAAAAATAATGAGAAATTAAAATAAAAACTATTTAATATAAAATAATGAGATATAATTCTAAATATTATAATTTTTTCTCTTGAAATTATGAATACTAATATATTTTAAATGTCTTATCTACAAGCCTACAATACAAAAGTAATTTTTGCAACCAAATTAAATAAATTCTTTTTCCCACAACAAACTTTATAAAACACTACATCCATTCCTAAATTACGACGATTTGATTAATCTAATTTACATATACGTATGTGGTTACTAACAACTACTCAAACTTCTACGCAACCTTTTATGATCTGTCTGGGATAGCAGATTTCAATAAAAAAAAAATTAATTTCCTTACAACATATTCACAAACATCTTAACGAAATATTGCGATCGTTCGAAATATACTCTAATTTTCATTTAGCAATGGCTAGTTTATGAAATTGGATTAACATGTGTATATTGGAACTACATGAATGCCAAGACTAAAAGAATGCTAACATGAAAAATAACAAAAATGTTTAGTGAGCCTTGAGATGATTCACACAAAAGAGACCCTTAATACAAAGAGCCCATAACAAAGCTGAAGATAATATATATGGTTCCAAAGTATACAAATTACTACATTACAAGGAGAGCATCCATGACTTGAAAGAATTGATGATAAGTTGGCAAACTTTCACAATTTTTTCAAATCCTCCCCTAAATAAAAAAAACATAATACATACAAATACTAGCCAGAAATGATATCGACTCTTATTTCATGAAGGTTTCATTTAGGACGGCTTTCTTACTGCTTCTTAAAGTGGATTTCTAGTACAAAAAATTAAATTTTTTGTACTAAAAAGCTGCTTTAAGAAGCAGGAAGAAAGTCATCCCAAACAAAGCCTAAGTAAGGAAGCCAACTGTTTGAATATCCGGGCAAACCTTTACTTTGAAGGCATTATGCTGTTTTCTGATAGGCAGTAGTATTAGCATGAAATGCAGAATGCCTGCTTGATCCTCCAAGTAAATTTACTGAGATAGATGGAGTGGCTTCTTCAGAGCCAGATTCTCCTATGCTCAGTTTTGAAATGCCCAGAAGTTCATCCACATTGATGGGAGATTTAGAATGTACAGGAGTTGGCTTCACAATTTCATGAACCTGTTCTTCCACAGTAGCTTCGGCGCAACCAAGCCGAGGAAGTGTGAGGGAAAAGAATGGCGAGAAATAGGCTGGGTACATGATTGGATGGCTGCATTGTGGTTCTGAAACTTCTGGCCTGATGGCAGTTGTTTCTTCTTCCACGTAATTATTAGAATCCATCGACTCGCATTCCTCCTCGAGAAGCGGATTTGCCGGAGTAGAACTGCCGGCGGCGGCTTGTGTTTCGGGTTCTTGAAAGTTCATGGGAAAGAACTGAGGTTCTATAGTCTGAAAATAATAAAACGAATGTTTAAAAAGTGATTTTTGTAAAGTAGGAAAGGAAATGCCTGGTGCGCGAGAAGAGGAGACTTGAAAAAGATAAATGGAGAGACTAACTTCATCAGGTACAATATCAAAGAGACTGGTCCTTCGCTTCCTTCTACTTGCATTAGTTTGGCGTATGAAATATTTCTGTGCATGACTGGCCACTTGAGTTGGTGTTCTTGTTATTACATAGTTGCGCGATATGCCTCGCCAATCCCCTTTGCCAAGCTTTTGCAAACCAAGTAAAAAGAGTCGGTGCTCATCTTCAGTCCATGGCACCCCTGCAAATAAATCGTCAACCAAAATGAAAGGAAGCTTTTGGCTTCGTTTAGGACGGCTTTCTTACTGCTTCTTAAAGCAACTTTATAATAAAAAAAATTAATATTTAAATTAGAAAGCTAATTTAAGAAGCAATAAGAAAGCCGTCCCAAACGAAGCCTTTGTATCACTTGCTTTCCCAAAACTTTGCGAGAAGATAAAATTGAAGGCAATGTGCAAATCACAAGAAAAACAAATGCATTCCTCATGAAGTCAACACAAATGAAGTAAAACTAATTGAAATTTTGTAAAGTAAAATTACAATCAGTTTCTAAAGAAGCATGCAATTATCTCATGGCTGTGATATGGCACTGAACACGTATTTGATTTCACAAAAACAGGCAATAATGCAGATCTCAATGAAGACAATTCAAATATCAATCAGAATCTCCTCGCTGCAAGTTCACTTAGGCTTCTTTTGATGGCTTTCTTACTGCTACTTAAAGCACTTTTCTTGTACAAAAAGCAGTAAAAAAGTCTTCCCAAACGAAGCCTTAGAGTAGAGTTTCAAATGGAAATTCTTAGGTATGCTCAGGCAAGGAGCATCTAGACCCAAAATATATTTGAATAAATCCATAGGACATTACCTTGATAAAAGGATCTCTCCTAATTATGACCTTGAATCTCAAAATCAATATTTCACTCCATTCACTTAAATGTCTAATGACTTTTTAGCAATCAATGTTTTGATGAACAAGAAACAAGATGAGCAGCATTTTGAAAACTTTTGTTTTGCATTCTAGTACTATTTAGTCGATACTACTTTAATCTTCTGCTAAAAGGCCTCCTCTAAATTTCAAAAAGGATATTGGGCCAACATCAAAAAATAAAGCTAAAAAAATACAATTTACAACAATAGAAGAATTTCCGGATTTAATTGAAAACACAGTTAATAGAAATAGTAGAGATTAAAGGTAGCATTATCTTAACGCCTGCATGGAGAAGGCATTTCATTACTTAAACGTAAGGAAAAAAACAATTTTAAATTATAAAAAATAAGTTTATTGAAAAATCTGGACAAATAATTTATTCATTAAACATTAAAAATAACAAAATTATCAATAACCAATCACCTAGGATCAAGAGTTGGCTTTTGCTAGATTTCCACAAAACCCCGGGAAAGGTATGGACAGATTAAGCATAGAGGTCAAGCTTTCTGCTTAAGAATATAGTGGGCAAGTTTTAAATCTAACCAACCCTTTGCTAAACTTCAGCAGGTTGGAAGAGCAACACGTGCCTTACTAATCTTTTTCATTAGCACATAACTAAAAATAACAAAAACTAATCACAGTTTCCTCTTCAAAGTACTTCCCTACCATTTAATGGGGCAAACATATAGCCATATTTCCCTGTTGAACATAAGATAATATAGATTTTGTTTGATATCATCACCTTTAGCCTTATTCAAATAATTTGGGGTTAGCTTAATGAATTCTACCTCTTCATTCATTCATACTGAGTGCTATTACATGTTAACTCTACTTTGCATTAATCTTTTTCACACTTGTGCACATATTACATTTTGTCCCTCTATTTAGCTTCCTAATACCTCCATGTTATTTCTAAGTACCCGCATTATTAATACATCTTCTACACTCCGTCAAACACGCCCAAACCACATCAAATCTTTTTCTCAATATTTTATGTTTAATAAGAGCTATTCCCATCATCTTAACAATAAAAACATTCTCATTCCATCCTTTCTAGTTTTACTAGCAATAATCCATCTTAACATTCCTATTTTTTCATACTCTCAACTCGGTTGCTGTAACTTCCTATTCATATGATACATTTGAAATGCTAAATAAAAAATCTACCCGCTAAATTCCCACCCATGTCAGAGACATGTTGTTAGACCGGTCCAGTCGGTCCATACGAGACCAGCTTATGGGAAATAGGCTGAACATTCTCCGCATCCTGTACGCAGGACCCGACCGCCCAACTCTTCAAGGAGCTGTTTAGGAAGGTTTTTGAAGAGAGTAGGGAGGGCAATTTCAAAGTAGGGGCTGTTTAGGGATTTTCTTTTGAATTGTATGCATTAAATAGTTTGTTTTCCTAGGGTTAGGGCATCTGAAATTTGGCTGAAATTTGAGATCTATTTCGTTAAGGTTTTTGAGCTCTAGCGGCGTCTAGAGATTTGAGAGAGATAGATCCTCCTCTCGAATTGACGATCAACTATATCTTGGTATTTTTCTGCCGCATCTTTGATTATTGCAATAAAAACTATTGTTTTTCTAATTTTCATTGGAATTTGGAAGAGTTTTCTCGCTGTTTTTCCGAAATTGATAGAATTGATTTGAAATCTTCAATAGTTTCCTAACATGCACATAAAAGGGTCAAGTAGCACAAGTTGGTAACTTTTTTGCATTGACTGAATGCATAAATCAATAAATCAAAGGCACTAAAAGTCAATAAAAAAGATTATTCATTCAACCCAGCAAATTACTAATGCACGTTAAAGGAAAAGTTCAGATAACATCAATGTTCACAAATGAATCAGTTCTAACAAACAATTTGTCATCATAAATAAATAAGTTGCTTTAGCATTTTTCCATTATGAAGATTGCAAGCTCATCTCGAAGAATCTGTATTTTTCTTGAAATTGTTTGGAAATGGAGATGTAGAGTCTATCACTAGAATATTCTCATCGCCGTACTCCTTGAGTGCTGACAAACCCGGGATTCACAATAAATATGAAACTAGCGTTCTTTCAGAGATTTTCAAGAACATGAGATCAAGGATAGCATAGCATATCCCACCACAGGGCTTCCATCTGTCTAAAAGATGGATGCTGAAGAAGTTTTTCCCATCTATATTCCTTTTACCAAACGTAACTTTAATAAATTACATCAGTTTTAAATTATTAATTGATTTCATGTTAGAAAGATCTATTATAAAAACAGTTTTTTATTAAAACAATTAATGAAAAAATAAAGAGAGGAAAAAAAAATCTTCATATGAATTTTAATAATCTTAAGGAAGCCCATGATTAAGTAATACAAGAAATGATTTATTACATATTAAAAAAAAAAAGGTGTGTCAAGGTGTGCCAAAGATATGCTATGGTGATGATGATGGTAGAAAAAATTATAGAGTGATCAAATAGTTTCCACTTATAGCAAGCTTACAACAAGGATTGAGTTCATATCCTTTTGTATTTATTATGAAAATGCATACAAAAAGTTATTTATAGTGAGATGCTTTGGCATCTCTCTTTTGAAGACGATCATACGAATTGATGAAATATACTCAAAATAATTGAAAAATTAGAACATAGAATATAGGGGCTATTTGTTTTGCTGCATTTAGGGTGTAGAGTAATCCAAATATAAAGGTTTTGATAATTTGAGTGTTTGGTTGGATGAAAAAATAAAATCAAGGAAAAATAAAGTAAATGTAGAAAAATAAAGTAAATGCAGTGTATTACATTCTACTTCATTTTTTGGGTATTTGAATTCATCCGATTTGGGAAATTTCCAAATACACTGCAAACTCAAGAGCATTACCACCCCTTGTCGGTCACCTCCGCCCGCAAGCAGCCATCGCCGGCCACCTCCACCCATCGACAGCCACCATCAACCTTCGCCGCTGCCGCCTCCTACCCCGCCACCATTGCCGGCCTCCACTGGCACTATTCTTGACCATCACTGCCACAGCCACCGCCGCCTCCTCCTCCGACCACAACCGCCACCTCCTCCAGCCACCATCTCCACTGTCGTCTCCGACCACCGTCGCCACCACCGCTATTCACTTTACATTGCAATCACTTTACGTTAAACCAAACAAAAAAGTAATGTCGCCTAAACCCTTTACACTCATCCAAACAACTCTAAAGTATTCATTTTACAATGCATTTCTTTTTCAAGTAACTAAATAACCCCATAATAGAAAATATATAGAAGAGGTCTTATAATCAATAAATTATTAATACTTAAGTGTGATAAATATAAGTATCTTGGATCAATTATATACAAGTAGATAAAGACATAACTTTAGAGTTAAGATTGGTCGTTAAAATGGAGGCCCATCATGTATAAGTTATAAGAAAAGAGGCTATCATGGGGACACAAAGATAAACTTATAAAAATATGTGAAAAGAAAAGTGCCTCAATCTAGCTCTCAATTTTGAATAGATAAGAAAATAATGATAAGTAACGAAATAAAAATGTTAAGCTAGATGTATGTTAAGGTTGAGAAAAATAATTTGAGTGATAATGTTAGAGAGATAATTGGAGTAACATCAATTGAAGATAAGAAAATGGACATAGGAAGTTTGGATATGCACAACAAAAGTAGAAAATGCATCCATAAAATGGGTAGATGAAATTAATGTCAAAGGATTAGGAGGAAAAAAAAAAGAATATATCTAAGGCAACATGGATAAAAGTTAAGAAAGATTTGTGAAAAATATATTTAACACATCTTGTAGCACACATAAAAAACAAATAAAATATGATGACCTATAAAGTCAATATACTTGTTAATAAAAAACAATGCACCATAACAAAAGAGTATTGATGCTCTAACACCTTGGCATACAATATTTTTAAAATAGCATAAATCATAAAAAAGTAATAAATAATTTATTAATTATTCAACAATGCAATAGAGAAATATCCTAAAAGCACTAATAAATGACACTTAATAAGACATAAAATTAGTTTAATATAAATGAAGGTTCACAATTGAAAAGTGGATTGAAAAATCAACTATCATGGCAAGGAAAAGAACTAGATTTACAAATAAACTACCATAGTTGTAATAATAAATAATACTAGAAAAAAAACTACATTATAGAGTTTAAGTTTAAAATATTAGGAATGCTTTATTTACAAGTCCCATATACATCAAACCAAAACCAATCAACCTAAGAATCAAAATCATCATTACACACCAAAATAGTTTCACTTCCATCATCATCTTCCAAACCATAACATTAATTTAATCAGCGAGTATGCTAGAC